TTAATCAACCACTACACCAACCAAACGTTGTATTGCAATACGTGACCCAGCCAACAAATTTAATAATTAAGTTTTTAAAAATAAATATTATAAAAAGATTTTTTAATATATATTATATACCTTTTTTAAATTTAAATATACTTAAATATAAGTATATAAGTAATAAAATTAAATTAAAATTAAAAGAAAATATTATTAAATTATATTTTTAAGAAATAAATAAGCTAATAATTTAAAGAATTTAAAAAGATAGCTTATATTTTATAAAAATTAATATAATAAAATAAATAAATAAGCCTAAATATACCTTTTATAAAATATATATAACTTAATAAAATTTAAATATAAATAATAAAAATAAAGAAGAAATATATAAATAGTATTATAAATTAAGCTATATAAATATTTAAGCTTTAGAAATATTTCTTTAAAAATATAAAATAAATATATCAATAAATAAACTTATTTAAGAATATATAAGTAATTATAAAGTATGCTTAAAAGCTAAGCATATAATTAAAATAAATAAGACTAGTTTAAATAACTAAGTATATAATATATTTAAAAGAGTATATAATAATATAGGCGATTTCTTAAAACTTATATATAATAAATATAAATATTATATATTATTCCTTAATAAAAAAACTTAATATTTAAAAGTTTCTTTACTTAAAAATAAAGATAAAGCATTAAAAGCTTTTAATAATTATAAAAATAAGGCAGAAAATAAATATAATAAAAGAATAAAAGAATTCTTTACTAATAATAAAGGCAAATATATAAATAAAAGATTTAAAATCTTATTAAATAAATACTTTATAAATCATTACATAACGCCCTTATATATAAAAAAACTAAATAACTTAATAAAAAAACTAAATTTAATTATAATAAATAAAGTAAAAAGCCTTTTATATATAATAAATTTACTTATATACCTATGGGGAGAAGTAATAAAATATGCTATATATTTATATAATATTACACCCCATAAAAACCTAGGGTATAAGTACCCTTATAAGGTAATAAATAAAAAGAAGCTTAATATAAATAACTTAAAAATATAGGGATTTATTATATATTTTTAGAATAATAATTATAAAACTAAATTAAAACCCAGAAATAAAAAGGGCATATTATTAAATATAATCCCAGAATTAAACATATATTAAGTATAGGATATAAATAATAAAAAGCCTATATTAATTTGGGATATCCAAATATTAAAAGGGTAATATATAAATAATAATAATAATATATATATATTCCTAAAATTGCAAAAATAAAGAAAAGAAAATAGAGAAGTAAATTCTCCTCTTATTTTAAATAAAATAATAGTTTAAGGGAATCCAAAAAATTATATATATATTATATAAAATACACTATTAAATAACTAAATATTTATATTAAATTCTCAAGAAAATATATTAAAATACTGCTTAACTGCAGCTAATATTAATAAACTTTCTTCTTTAAAAAAGGTATTAAATAACTTAAAAAAACCCTTATAAGTTAAATTTATGCTAAATAAAATATATAGTTTATGAGAATAAAATACTTATATAATAATAAATTTACTACTTAGCCATATGGCTTTAAGGGGGAAATGGGTATATAAAAAGAAATTTATAAATAACTTAGTTATTATAAAGCTTAATTAAGTAGTAAATAATGAAAATAATATTAAATTTAAATTTAAATGGGCTATTTAGGGATATAACTAAAAATTAAGCATAAATTATTTAAAAACTTTTTTTATAGTTTGCCACCCTAAAATTTATATTATGCTATTAATAATAGCAATAAATAAAGGATATTATATATATAATTATAACATTAAAAACGCGTTTTTATACTTTAATATTAATTTTAAAATATATATAAAATTACTTATATATATATATAATAAATTAAAATATAAAAATAAAGTTACAAAACTAAATAAAGCTTTATATAAGTTAAAATAATTACCTATGCTTTAATATAAATACTTAAAAAATATATTAACTAAGCTAGGATTTATTATTTACTTATATAATAAAGAGGTATTTATATACCTTAATAAATAAATTATATTTATATATTATGTAAATGATATTATCGTTATAGGACTTAATAATAATAATATAAATTTAATAATTAATAAACTATATAAAAATATAAAACTAGATTTTTAAGGAGATTTAATAAATTTCCTTAAAAGCAATATATATATAAATAAAGAAGATAAATAAATAATTATAAACTAAAATAAATATATGGATAAAATATTAAAAAGATTTAATATAAAAGAAAAGGTTGAGAAAAAGGAAATAATCCCTTAACTTATACCATATACCCTTAATAGAAAATTAGAAAAATACATTAACTAAGCTAATAAAAATATTATAAAATTATATTAGCAATAAATAAGGTTTATATTATATGCTAGCTTAAAAATAAAGCTAGATTTAATTTATTTTATAAATAAGTTAGCTAAATATATAGCAAACCTAGGATTAAAGCATATAAAAGAATTAAATAAAATATAAAGATATATATATAAATTCCTATATATATTTAAAGTATATAATTGCTTTGGAAATAATTTATAATTAATAAGCTATATAAATTTAAACTGGGGTAACGATATATTTATTAAAAAAAGCACCTTTAATTATATATTTAGCTTATATAATATTAATAATAATAATAATAATAATAATAAAATAAATCCCATAAGCTGGAATTCTTAGCTGTAAAAAATACTAGCACTTTCCTTTATAAAAGCTAAATATATGGCTTTAAGAAAAGCTATAAAAGAAGCTAAATATTTATATAATTTACTTGAATATTTTAATAATAATTTAAAAATTGGCTTTAATCTTAAGCCCCTTATTATATATATAGATAATAATGAGGCTGAGAAATTAGCTAAAAATACCTTATTTCATAAAAAAATTAAATATATAAATATTGCATATTATTATATAAGAGAAGTAATAAAAAATAATAAAATAATATTAAAATATATAGATTTTAAGCAGAATTTAGCAAACTGGCTTATAAAATTAATAGATAGATTATATTATAAAGAGTTTAAAGAAAGGTATAGTTTAATAAAAAAATAATATAAAAATATTAAGCTAGAAAATAGAGAGATTTTCTACTTATATTATAATATGCATAAAATAAATTAAGGTATTTACTTTTTAATAATTAGGGTTAAGATTTTTTCCTTTACTTATAAAATATATAAATAAATAAAGCGGATTTACTTATAAAATATATAAATAAATAAAGCGGATTTAATTATATATATATATATAATATTATTTTAAATACTAAAGGTTTTCCCTTAGAAAAAATAATTAAAATAATAAAGGTTTTTCTTGAAAAATAAGCGTTACTTATACGGCCTATATATACTATATATATACATAGTTACAATATACTTATACTGTATTTATATACGTTTAATTTTATATAAAAAACGTATTTTTATAGTGTATATAATATAAATAAAATGATGTGTAACTTTAATGTGTAAAAATGCCGTGATATACCGTAATTATTATAAAATAACTAGTGAATTCCATATAAAACCATAATTTAATATGTAATACCTTATTGGCTATAAGTTTAAGTTTAAGTAATAGTAAATTTTTGGGTTTTTTGCCTAAATATATAAATATTTAATAAGTAAGTTTTTCCCTTTTTATAAGGTTTTCTTATTATATAATTAAATATTCCTCTTTTATAAATTAAATCCCTTATATATAAAATAAAATAAATAAAAGGGAATTAATTTAAGGGGGGCTGTTGGAATATTCTAGATATTTAGGCTATTATTAATACGGGATATCCTTTTCCCTATATGTTTGCCACTGTATGGAGGATAATAACTATAAATAGGGGCCTTCCCTCCCGTTGAATAGACGTTAGCTAGTTTAATAGACTAAGCATCCAACGCTATTATTTCAGAACGGTGACGTGGACGATGTCAACCACAGAATCTGGGAAGCAGCCAATAGTCTCTGGAAATATCCTCGTTTGACCTGACGATAAGGACGCCATCGACGGTTAACTTCGGCGGGAAGCTTCCCGACGAGACGCGAGGTTTTCAACGGCAAAATTGCAAGAGAGCAGTCAGTCACCATGACAGTCTACGTGCAAGTAAGAACAGCATTATCTATGTTACAGTGCTATTAAGGAGCTATAATAATTACTTATTATTGCATAAAGAAAGGAAAATTAAAAATTTATAAGCTGCAAGCAAATCTATAGCGTTTATAAGGCGGGCTATTATAGTGGGTATCGTGATAGTTTAGGTTTAAAGAGGTTGATTTAACTGCCTCCTCAATTTATTGCGCCACAAAAGTGGTATTCCAGTTATCATAGAGCTAATTGCTATATTGCCGAGGTATTTAAGACAAGCTTTAACTCTAGCTTAAGCATATCTACCTACTGAAGCCTGCTTTGCCATGGGCTGTCGCCAGACCGCGTTGCTGTGCCCATTAAATTCAACTCACCTACACATAAATTCGAGCGTCAGGATACCAACTAATACCTGCACCACCGAATTTTGCTACCTGTTGACACGATCGAAGATCCGGATGCTGCATATACCTCAGGATGGCGGGCAAGCCTTACGTCCTGCTATATAGTATATCATCTTTCACAGTAGATCATTTGAGTGCGGGACTTTTTATCTTACATCCACTATATCCACAAAATTTCTGTGAAAGCGCCCCAAGAGTTGACTGCCAAGAGTTTGCTCAGTGACCCCAGCTCTGTCTATCACTAGTGAGCCCGGTATGAATCATAGTGATCCATTCGCGCTAGGTTTTAGCACAACAGAAACCGTCCGTGAACTGGCACGTGGACATAGCGAAAGGCCTTTGAGGCACCATTCAACGTTGCCAACGCAATATATGGCTGCATCCGCCTGCGTATCCTCCAACTGGTCGATCGAAGAAAGGCCAACTTATAACTGAGTATCTGCACTTGTGGACTTAATGGCTCAAAATCATGCTGTTGTCATCGGCGCTTCCGGTCTGATCGGTTGGGGCATCGTGGATGAACTTCTCTCACAGGACTCCATTGCGGCGGGCACCTTCGGAAGGGTTACAACAATCGTTAATCGCCCCATCAACCGAGATGATACATTCTGGCCCGACGAACACCCCACCCAGCCCAAACTCCTCATGGTTGACGGCGTCAATTTGATGGACGACGAGGAAAAGGTTACCACTGTGCTGAAAGACAAAATAACGGATGCCAAAACCATCACCCATGTCTTCTACTTCGGTGCGTTAGATATAGAGACCTGGGGCATCGATAGCTTTTGCTGATGAACTCCAAGTCTTTAGGGCCCACGATGAAGATCAGGAAGCGGAGGTGGCGATGAACGCTGGGATGATGGCCCGGTTCATCAACGCGATCGAGTCGCTCACAACCAACCTCAAATTCGTCGTCTTCCCGGGAGGCACGCGGGGCTACGGCATCTACCGCCCAGGCGGAATCTTCACCGCGCCTCTCGACGAGTCACTGATCGGCACGCTCCCCGACGACTACGCCAAGACAGTCGCGTACCCGTCCTTCCGGCGCCTGCTCGCCAGGGCAAGCGAGGGCAAGCCCTGGACGTGGTGCGAGGTGTGCCCCGACGCCGTCGTCGGGTTCGCGCCCAATGGAAGCGGGTGGTCCCTCGCCGCGCACTGGGCCACGTTCCTCGGCGTGTGGCGGCTGAGGCACGGCGAGGGGAGCGAGGTGGCCTTCCCGGGGTCGCTGGCCGGCTACGACTCGAGGTTCACCGAAGCGAGTACGAGGGCGCTAGCCCGCTTCGCCATCCACGCCTCGGCGCTGAGACCCGAGGCGTGTGGCGGCGGCAAGACCTTCAACGTGGCGGACGACGAGGCGCCTGGCACCATGCGGGAGAGGTGGCCTCAGATTGCGGCTTGGTTCGGATGTGAGTGATGAATACACCCGACTTCTTCGTGATCGTTCTTTTGCCTCCCTTTTTGTCCTGCCCTTTCCCGTTTTCTTCCGACCGTCTGGAGCTTGGGACCTTGGGACCTTGGGACTGGATTTGGCTTTTATTCGCCTGCCCCGCTTTGTACAACGTTGTGCTCGGAGATAGTGTCTCAGGGGAACGTGCATTTCGGTGAGAGCCCGGTGGACTACACAAGGTGTCCGGCTGGAGATACCATGTGCACCCGAGAGGGAGCACCTCGTTCTTTTCTTCCCGAGACATGTGCCAGCGAATAGCTATCATACTTGTAGTGTCTCTCGAGTGAATGTTTTCTGCATCGACCTGCACGCCCTTCGTTGGCAATATCTCTGCAAAGGAGCTATTACTGACAATCTCGTTCTGCGCCCAGTGAAAGGGGTGGGCCCGCCGTCCGATGGCTCTCGGGGAAGCCTCCCCAGTGAGTTCATTCGCGAGAACAAGGATCTACTCGAATCAGCTGGCGTAAAAGGTGCTAGTGTCTGGCACCAGAACCAGCTCGACAGCTATGGTTACTGGCTCACATTTGATCGCCACCTCAGCCTCCGTCGGCTTCGACACGAGGCAGGGTTTCCTGAGCGAATCAGACCGGAGGAAGGGTGGTGGAAAGCATTTGAGCTGTTCAGGAAAGCTGGAATGCTTCCATAGCATGCCAGATATAACGTATGCGCCTGTTGCACAGTACACTCCTCTCTGGGCTGGGACAGAGCCGGACAAAGCCGGGACACTTTTGTGTGACGAAAATGTAGCTGTCCAGTTCGGAACCTTGCACCTTGTGAACCTGCCATTGCTCAAACTCGTCCCACGAAATATTGTACTGTGTTTTATTCACATTACTGGCACCTCGGTTTCTTACTTTCGGCTTAATTCCAGAGCAGACATACTGATATGTACCTTTGCGTCAAATCTGTCTTTGGCGAAGTCAAAACAAGTTTCATTGGGCTTTGGGCCAAGAACGAGACCGTACTTAGAGGAAGATTTGAAGTACAATGTATAAATTACTGCAGCAAAATAAATATTTGAATAACATAATTATATCGCCATGGGACTGATCTTGACGTTCAAGCAACAGCGCATCAAATAAGAGGCCAACGGTGGCAAGTCTGGAATAGATTTTGCGCTTTGAGCATATGATTCCTTCTGCCAAGCAATTCTCATGCCGGTGGATGCTTTGCCTCATCTGGAAGAGCCGTAGTCACTCGAAATTAGAAGATAGCAAAGCATGTACAATTAGCAGGCTAATTGAAGGAGGCTGTACAACGGTGCTGACTTTGTGTAGTGTGAGATTGCCCCACGTCCTCCGTCCGAGCTGACATCTGGAGGCTCCAAGTCCGAAGCAAGCATGCTCCTACCGTAGATAAAAGGCTGACTGCGCAACCATGAGGGCGCTCTTCGGCCAGTTCTGACTAGCCATCAGATTCTCTGAATCTATGCAAGATGGCTGCACAGCGCATTAATTTCTCATCGCATCCTCAGCGAATGCTCAAAAATCATCTGCGGCGTTGCATTTCAGACAGTCAGCCAACCTTAAAAGGACGTGGAGCTAGTTCCACAGTTCCGAAGAAATCAGCAACCGGAGAATATCCACACATTGGCGGTGGAACAACGAAGCAAGCGATAAATACAAGATGGTCAGGGGAGGCTGGTTGGATGACACGATTTTCCCAGATCTACAAGAATCTACACAACAGAAGGCCGTACCTATTTCAATTTTGCGCCTCGCTGGCGATCTGGTTCAGCGCCGACGTGATCGCCCAGCAGATTGCGGAGACAGAATACGATGCGGCACAGACGGGACGCATGTTGATCATTGGTGGTTCAGCATCGATCCCCATGTATAGATGGTAAATGCACAAATCAGACCTATAGATAAAAGCATGTAAAAAAGTGCATTGCTGACCGTGTCTTCCAGGTTTATATTTATCTCCACCCGCTTCAAGGCTAGATCCGGACTTCCCAAAATCGTCAACACCATCCTCATCGCTACAATGCGCACATCTATCACGTGTTGCATTGTGACTCCAGTCATCAGTGTCTACTTCTTCAGCATGCAGTGTATTTTGTCGGGCCACAATCTTGCCAGCACATGGGAGCATTTGCAACAGACTCTTCCACGAAGTTTGAAGTCAGCGTTCCGGTACTGGCCTGTTGTCAACGCCATCAACTTCTCTATGGTGCCGACACAATTTAGAGGTATCTTCCAGGCCTTTTCGGGGTTGGTCTGGCAGACATATTTGGCATGGATGAACAGACACATAATGGACCTGGAGAAGGCCGAGGACGGACAATACCAGGGCACAGAAGAGTCCATCGTGATGAAGAGTGAGGGGCCAAGGCCAGTTGAATGTTAATTAATTGTGGGCACAGCGGCCTATGGGTCATATGCTTTGCAGTATGATTCGTACTATCCGACGGCTACATTTCCTACCTTCGGCAGCGAGATGCGTGTATATACAAATCCTATTTTCAAAGACCTACACTCGACTACCATGCGGGTTCTGGTAGTATCTATGAGTACCTAACATTGAGTGGTAAACAACCCCGAGGGCAGCTAGATAGCTTCCCGTACACTTTCGCGGTGCAAATCAAACTCGCGTATCTATATTCGTTTTAGATGGCATACAATTATTGTTTGATAGGCAGAGAAGTTCGACTCGGATGTTATTGAATCAGCGGCGTAATGTCTGATAATTGACGTCGTTGCCCAGCCGTGTTCCCCTGTCACTGTGCTCTCAACTGTCATGACTACACGCACATATATAGAGGCAATACCGGCGTTGCTTCGAGTCAGTACGACGCAGACAACATAGGTACCAGCCCACCCTCGTGCAGGGGATCTCGCGTCCGGGTAGCACCAGATTGGCGAAGGCCGTTGTATCGAGGGCCGGCGCATGCAAGCTGTGCAGATCTGGGCGTTGGGAAAGCGAGATTGACAAGGCGCCGTGGCTCTGCAGTCAGGGACAATGTCACGCCAGACGACATGTGTTGTCTCAGCCATGTCTGTCTCCGCTCTATGGCACATACTCGCACACACGCACGCACATGCCCGCACGCGCAGATCTGGACGTATTCCTGTTCTCGCGCAGGATGAGTCGAGTTTTCCCTCCTCTCAGGTCCCCTTGTCTGGTCGGGGAAAAGGACGAGTCTCCCGATGTCGATGACTCGGGGCGGATGGGACCGAATGTGGTTTTCGGCCGTACCCGGCTGGTCGGTCGCCTCCACCTGGCTCGCGTGTTGCTCCACATCACCCGGCCCAGATGTCGGGATGGCCACGGTTCCGAGGCTCGTGAGTTAGTCACCGCGAATTAGTGGTCGGGTCCACCAGAAGAGAATTCTTGCCTGCCGCGACTTCTTTCAATGGCGAGAGAAGTGAAAGCGGCTTAGCACCAGGGTGGGATCACGCCGCCATGGCGCGCCCTAAGCAGCCCATCCCCTTGGCCCCTGGCGCCAGAACACCCGCTCTGGATTATTCCAGTGTGAACAATGTGAGTTACGGTGAACTCAGAGTGGGTACGTCTTACTATATGGCATCCCCCTGGCTCCCCATACAACTCCATAAGACCGTCATTCTCCCGTTGTCTTGCTGGCTGCGCCTCGCCAAAGTCCGTCCTCCATTGATGTCTCTTGAGTGACTTCTGTCTTGCGCCTTCCCGAGACATCACCTGCGTCACCAATTCACCCCCAACACCTGTCACCCAGGTACATCACCGGCGTATTCACGTACCCTGTCGTCACCCAAAAACAATCCTGGGTCTTTACGTCAACCATTCGTTGCATTCCTTACTTAGTACCAGACCCTCAGCGGTCTCCTGTCGGACGTTGAAAAGAAGACCTCGTCCCACCAGGTTGAATCAAGCACGATCCGGGCGTGCAGTCCTGGAACAACTCCGTGGGCAAACAGACCACAGGCCGGGACAACTTGGAAGCTGCGAGGTAGAAAGGACCTGCGAGCACGCTGTTAGGCGGCCTTGTAGGACCAGACCTTGCTGACTGCTCCCATTCGTCACTTCTCCTTCTCATTTCCCCCCGTCTCACAGAGTATGACCTTCGACTCCCCCGATGCAGAGGACACCTGCTTAAAAAACCACCCTTATAGACACACCTTCTCGTCCGCCGTCACCGGTGACGAGTGCACGCCGACCGCCTCTGGTGACCTGGAGAAGATCGACTCCCGCCACCATGAGGACGACGACCACATCGACGTCAACAGGGAGCAACGACGCCGCGGCGGGGACGACTCACAGCACGCCCACGGCGGAGGCCATGGCGCGCACGAGCATGACCTGAGCCCCTGCTCCCACACCACGTCATCGACCAGTGCTTACGCAGGCCGGGCCCCCTCGACGCTGCCCGAGCGGGTCGCCTCGCGCATGTCCACGTCGTCGTCGGCGCTGACGTTCCCGGAGGGCGGCCTCCACGGCTGGCTGGCCGTCGCGGGCTCCTTCTGCGCCATGCTGTCCGTCTTTGGCCTCATCAACTCGTCGGCCGTCTTCGAGTCGTACTTCTCGGAGCACCAGCTCGCCGCGCACAGCGCGTCACAGATCGGCTGGATCTTCAGCATCTACCTGTTCTGCGTCTTCTTCGTCGGCATACAGGTCGGCCCCATCTTCGACCGCTATGGGGCCAGATGGCTGGTGGCTGTGGGGAGTCTGCTTATCGTGTCGAGTCTCATGCTACTTGGGCTGTGCAAAGGTGAGCAAGGCCTAGTAAGGTTGGCGGAAAAGGCCCAAGTTCCCAGTCCAGACTAACGCCTGGCATAGAATACTACCAAATTTTACTCACATACTCTGTCATGGGTGGCCTCGGTGGTGCTCTCCTCAACTCGCCGGCATACGGTACCATCGCTCACTTCTTCAATGTACGACGCGGCTTCGCAACGGGAATCGCCACCACAGCCGGAGGAATCGGCGGTATCGTGTTCCCCATCATGCTTCAGAAACTGCTCCCGCGCCTCGGGTTTGCCTGGAGCACTCGGATCCTCGGCTTCATCCTCCTAGGTGTTGCGGTGCCCTCGAACCTCTGGATCAGGACTCGGCTGCCCCCAAGAAAACACATCAACAACCCCCTGGAACACCACAGCTGGCGAACCAAGATAGCGAGCGTCCTACCGGATTTCCGAGTGTTCCGCGACAAGCGGTTCGCACTCGCCGCCACGGGCATCTTCTTCATGGAATGGGGCCTCTTCATCCCCATAACATTCATCGTGTCCTACGCCGCGGCCCACGGGAAGAACGCCACAAGCTCCTACACCCTTCTGTCGCTCCTCAACGCGGGGTCGGTCGCCGGCCGGTTCCTCCCGGGCCTGATGGCAGACCGTTTCGGCCGGTTCAACGTCATCATTGTCACCATATCGCTGTGCTGTGCGAGTGTGTTGGGGCTCTGGCTGCCCGCGAAAGACTCGCAGTCCATAATTATCGCCTTCGCCGTCATCTTTGGCTTCGCGAGCGGGAGCAACCTGGGGCTCGTGCCCGTGTGCCTGGGCCAGCTGTGCGACTCGAGGGACTATGCGCGTTACATCTCCACGGCGAACTTCCTGGCGAGTTTTGGCACCCTCAGCAGCGTGCCCATTGGAGGTGCACTGCTCGGGGACGGCGGCAGGGACGGCTGGCTGGCGCTTATTCTCTTCTCGGGCTTGTCGTACTCTGTGGCTTTGCTTTGCTACGGGTCGGCTCGAGTCTTGGCTGTGGGATGGAATCTCAGGACTGTCTTCTGAGTGCGGAGACCTTTTGTCATGACGGCACGGCCATCGTCGATGCCTCCCTGTCTCGAACGAGGAATCATCGTGTAGAATGTTTGGTTCATAGCTGAGCCTCGCGGCACAACCTATAATATCTATTGAAAGTGTACATTGGAATGTCTACCCGTCTCCATATGTATATTGCACCCCGAGACGCGGCGGATGCCCTTATTGGCTATGTTGCCATTCGAGCTGAATATTGTCAACTTTGGAATTCGTCATTCAGAACCTCATGAGACCTCATTTGATTGAGCACCGTAACGGTCTCGTGTTCTACCAATTGCCAGGATTGGTCAATTGCAGCATGGATCGCCAGCCATGCATGATGCACACGATGCCTTCAGTGAGCTAGCAGTGCAATGTCACTGCTCGATACCCTTTCCGGAGACAATGTCAACCCTCTCATCGGCCGCTGATCGCAGCATGGTCAGTTATCATTCGATCTGTTGGCATGTCTCACCTGCCTACCGAATCGCGCAGAGGCACATTGCATGACCCGTGGCACGGCGTTTACTGTCAAACTGTGACAGAGCGGCCGTTCACATGGCTCTGTGATACGAGCTGGTGCCTGTTCCAACGGTGCGGCCGTATGAACGCAGATGCGCAAGGGTGGGATAATCAAGATTCCCGCTGACAGATTAACGGGCGGGCAGATCTTTTGGGGACCGGGTTAGTCACAGAAGAGAGGGAAAAAGGGTTTCCATTAGTGACTACGATAAAAGCGCTGATCTTCAGATTTGTGGATATTGCTGAGGTGTGTCAACTGTACCTACAGGTTAAAGACAGACATCTGAAATCTGTACTCATGTCATACATGTGTAGCTCTTCTTGAGCGGTCAAAAAGGCAAGCGAGGCAAAAAGTATATTACCCGTAACCATAGTCTTTGACGTCTTCGTACGAGTGAATTCAATACACAACTATATTGTTGACTTTCCTGGTCAGGTGTGGATCAAATACTCGATTTCGATCTGAATGTTAATTGTGGGTTATAGTATTGGATGACTGAGTAGCAACGCAGACAGGTCAATACGAAGACTTTTGCAGATGAAAAACATCATTAAATCTTGGATTATAGCGCAAAGTCTAACACGGCCACGTTCCTCTTCCCTCCACTGCCTTCCACATCCTGCCCAACAATCACTGACAGAACATTCTCGCTCGCCAGTCTCGGACCGTCAATGAGTGGCTCTCCTGAAAAACCATTGCCAACCCAGACGTCCTCATAGTCAGCGTACCCATTTGACTTCGCCGCCTTGAGTATTCGTATGACTGAGGCGGCTGTATGCGGCAAGATCAACAGCAAGTCGCCGTCCTTCGTGACAGCCAGCCGACCTCGCCTTGGCCTATCTATAGGGCGGACTGCCCTCGATGTCCATGAGCCTGTGAGGCATGATTAGTTGCTTTTCTCACGGAATAATCGTCACGAGCATTGTCAAATGTGGTGACGTACCGTTAGGAGCACGATAGTAGTGCCTCCACACGTTAATACCGTCCAGCGTGTCGCGGTTCAAGATGTGTATCCCACCATCGTGGTCCACCGCTTGCGCCTCCTGGTTCATCAACCCGCTCCCCTTGGGTATATCGAAAGCCACAATCCCCTCGGAGGAGTTATCTATCGTCTCCCCTTTCCTTAGTTCAGCAATCACATTCCCGTTGCCATTCTTCCAGGTGTACCCCAGGTCCTCGGAATAAGCATAGCAGATGTTATGATTATTCTCCGCCCCGTTCGGCCCAGCCTGCTGCTTGTGCTTGGTATCCTCCGGGTCGTCCCAGCCCTCGTAGTGGACGAAGCCCCGGTACACCCACGTCACGTGCAGCCTGCCGCCCCTGAAGTCCCAGCCGTGGACGTAGGGGTTGCTCTGCACGCCCGTCAGCGGCGTGCCCACGAACTCCCAGAAGCCGGTGGAGGAGCGGTACAGGTACAGGTGGTCGGAGCCGAGGCCGGCTTTGCCGTCGCGCAGTGACATGAACATGGTGCTGTCCCCCATGGCGCCGAGGCGCGGGTAGGTCACATAGCTGAAGTGCTTGTGGGTGCTGGGGAGGCCAGGCAGGTAGTCTAGGTTTTGGGTGAAGAGAGACGGGGACCATGTGAAAGCGGTAGGATCTTGGGCGACGCCGCGTATCGAGTAGCGGTACCGCAAGCTACGATTGGCGTCAGATCGTACAAGTCAAACGGGGAAATGGTGCGAGACTTACACATCACAGTGATGGTCGTAGGAAAGGTGGATAGTCCCGTCTCCAGGACAGATCCCAATCTGGACCGTGTTGTGGCCATCATCCGTTGTTTGCGGGTAGTCCTGGAAGACAATGGTCTGCCATGGTCCTGAGGGGAGCTGTCTCCTAGCAAGGTGCACGAAAAGAGGCTCAGGGGACGAGCCAGGGCTCAGGGCGCTGTAGAAGACTGCATACTGCCAGCCGTTAAAGGACGTGATAGCATCCTGCTGGAATGCATACCCATTAATGGCATGCTTCCGATGGGCTGGATCAGCCCCCAGCACTGTCACTTCTGGATCCGGAAGCATGGTTCGCGACACCTGACAGGCTGATGGCGGACGACGTGCAGAGGCGGTGCCAAGCCAATGGTTTCCCACGAGGTACACAAGATGGAGGGATCTCTGGCGACAGGGATGGCTTAAGTCGGTCAGGAGGAAACAAGCGACTAGGAGGCCCACGGGACGGGAGCCAATTGTCTTCGAAGGCAGAGCTCCCGCGTTGGCACTTGGCGGCTCTTCTTTAGACTTTTTAGGGTTAAATACCCAGGCAGACGGCGTTGATGGTAATTCGTGGAGAAATAAATCGCCGTCGAATTGGTCTGCTCCTGGACTGCCTTGGCATATAAGACTCCCAGACTGCCTCTTGGCCAGGTTTGCTTGATATTGAGAAACGGAAATCCAGAAACTCCAAGACGTGAAGGCTTGTGGGGCACAGACGAGGAGGCCGTTTGACATGGTTAAGGCGTTGTAACAGGAATCTGGCTCATAGCGATCTTGCTCGCCTTACCGTGGCCCGAGAAAAGCGACGGGCTCAGTAGGCGCTGGGACAAAAACGACCGAGGGCGATCAACCTTTGGGACCGACCCCAACTTTGAGATCGATCCCCGCCGAGAGGGACCAACATCGGTCCCAGCGTCGCGTCAATCTTCAGGGCAGCAATGTCAGAAGCAAGCTGCAAGTCGCAGACAAATCTTCCTTGGACGATCTTATCAACATTACTACCTTTCTATTTGTCCTTCCACTTTTCCGGCCCCTTTTCCGAGGCAGAGACTTTCGCGAGACACAAACACAAGAAGATCAATATGCGGAGAGGTCTCCGGGGACCGATCCACTTCCCCAGATCTGCCCCGGATTGGAGAATGAGATGTGCGGAGACCAGGGGTCCATGTCTGCCAAGTCTCTAGACCCCCCAGGAAGCTTACTGACAACCTTCCGGCTAAAGTCGTCTGATTGGCAAGCCAGTCGGGTCTATGGCCCGTTTGACACTGAGCTGGCGTCCTGTCCCACCTCCAAGGGTCGACCGCTGAGGAAGACAGCAGGAATCAGCATGGCTGATCACCACGACCCCGGGACATCATGCCATCTGATCACAGAAGCGCGCTCAGTCGGGGTACGCGTGGTCCTAGTTGGATCTGGCTCGTACGAAGGCGCCCTAGGGATCTTTGTGCCTCCCCGATCCTCCTCGTCCTTCAGAGACCGCGTGGCTCTGGCCCAAACATCTAGCTTCCTCTGCGCCTTGTCCAACAACGCCAAGGTGGCTTGACACTTGCCCCGATCTAGGGATCTCAGCTGGGGTAGCATTCAACCTCCTTGGTGGGAAATCAGCCAGCCGTCTTGGAAACGAGGACAAGCTTTTGCAGGTGAGCGTGTAGGATGAAGCCTCTGCCGCCCCCCAACGGTCTCGGATGGCCGCGTGCTGGGGCGTGTGGGGAAGGCTGGCTGGGCCGCGCCCCGGAACCACCTTAGCACCCAAGTACTGGGCAACCCAATTCACCCGGCTGCATCGTGGGGTGGCCAGGTCCTGGGGTGGGATCTAGTGCAGGCTAGATACCTTATTCACCGAAGCGAGTTAGGCATGTCCACTCTCGTATGCGTGCCTATATGAGACCACGCTTCTCCGGCTGCATGCTCCTCATTTTTTGACCACACCCCTCGAGATCCGATTTTCTGTCATTACAGTCTCTTTTTCTTCTCGCGCCTGTCGCTGCGAGAGAGATCGGGTCATCATCCGAATCTTCTTTGCTCAGATATTGTGCCGGTAGAAGACGTGTATTCAACCCCTCAACCCGGCCATACAGACACAACCTCCTCTTCTACGGACCAGCGGCAGCCAGCCGCCCACCGCCGCCAAAATGTCTATCGGAGTCAAGATACTGCAAAAGATCGTCAAAAATGAGGCCATGGCCCATGACCCGCCGGAGATTTACGGATGGCGCGTATACCTCCTGGCCTTCTCAGCCTGCTTCGGCGCCATGTCCTTCGGTTGGGACTCGTCCGTGATTGGCGGTGTCATCGTGATGGACCCTTTCATCAAGGACTACAAGCTCGGTGACCCCAAGAGTGCAGCCTCAGCCAACCTGTCCGCGAACATCGTCTCCACCCTGCAAGCCGGCTGTTTCGTCGGTGCCCTCGCCGCCAGTCCATTGACTGACAAGTACGGTCGCAAATGGTGCCTCATCGCCTTGTCTTTCATCGTCCTCCTCGGTGTCGTCATGCAAGCTGCTGCGAGCGGCCACCTGGCCGCCATGTACATCGGTCGGTTCATCGCCGGCCTCGGAGTCGGTGCCGCCTCGGCCATCAACCCGCTGTATGTGAGCGAGAACGCACCGCGTGCCATCAGGGGCCTGTTGACGGGCATGTACCAGCTCTTCATCGTGACGGGTGGTATGCTCGCCTTCTGGATCAACTACTCGGTCAACATCCACATGACCGGAAAGGTCATGTACATCTTCCCGCTCGCGATCCAGGCGCTCCCCGCCCTGCTGCTGTGCTTCTGCATGCTGCTCTGCAACGAGTCGCCCCGTTGGCTGGCCCGCCAGGACCGCTGGGAGGAGAGCAAGCACGTGCTGGCCCGCCTCCGCAACCTCTCCCCCACGCACCCCTACCTCGAGGAGGAGTTTTCCGAGATCGTCGACCAGCTCGAGAAGGAGCGCCGGCTCATCGGGGACGCCACCGCCGCGAACCTGCACAAGGAGATGTGGACCATCAAGGGCAACCGCAACCGCGCCCTCATCAGCATCGGCCTCATGATCTGCCAGCAGATGACGGGCACCAACGCCATCAACACGTACGCCCCGACCATCTTCAAGAACCTGGGAATCACCGGCACCTCGACCAGTCTCTTCAGCACCGGCATCTACGGCATTGTCAAGGTCCTGAGCTGCGTCGCCTTCCTGCTGTTCCTGGCCGACTCGTTCGGGCGCAGGCGGTCGCTGCTGATGAGCTCCGTCGCCCAGGGTGTATGCATGTTTTACATCGGTCTGTACGTCCGGATCTCACCACCCGTAGCAGGCGAGGCCGTGCCCCCCGCTGGCTACGTCGCCTTGGTCTGCATCTTCGTCTTTGCCATGTAAGTAGCCGTTCCCCACCGGCCCGTTTGAACGAAATGTGATAATGGAGCATATGCTAATCACCGTACCACAGGTTCTTCCAGTTCGGCTGGGGCCCAGCATGCTGGATCTACGCATCCGAGATCCCAACTGCCCGTCTCCGATCCATGAACGTCTCGTACGCCGCGGCGACCCAGTGGCTCTTCAACTTCGTCGTCGCCCGGGCTGTGCCAACCATGCTCGTGACTGTCGGTGAGCACGGCTATGGGTGAGTTGCCGCCCCCGTCCTAGCTCCTTTACTGCAAGAGGCCGTCTCTGACTAATTCGCGAAAACAGCACGTATTTGATCTTCGGAAGCTTCTGCTTCTCCATGTTCTTCTTCGTCTGGTTCCTTGTGCCCGAGACCAAGGGTCTGTCTCTGGAGGCCATGGACGAGCTTTTCGGCGTCACCGACCACAAGGCTCCTTCCCTAGATGGCACAGGCTCGTCGCGAGCGGATGACAAGCCACACCCCATTGCCGAGCAGACAGAGATTCAGAGGTAGAGGTGTGGACGGAGAATGAACAAGGGATTTACGACCGCTTCTCGATGTTGAAGCAGTCGAAGTGTTGTTCCAAGGTTGCTAGCTTCTGGGTATCCATATTCAAAGAGATGACTAGTGCTGTTCCACTCCAATTCTGCCGTTGTATGTTCGATGCCGATGAGAGATGTGCTTGTACACGAGTCTCGTTCGTCATCTTCTCTCGTCGTCCTGACCAACTGTGTACCCTCTCGCGACGCCACTCCTTCCTTGCTCGATAGGAGCGCTTTTCTCTTCTTCGAAATCGGCTCCTAGTCCTTGCCATGTCCTCTGCGATCGGAGGTATTCCGCGCCAGGGCTGAATACGCCGTTGATAGTTGCCAGTTCCGACTTTGCCCGCACAGCCAGCGCATCTGATTGCTTGGCGGTCGCTGGATCCTTTTCCGTGTTTTCCTTTTCCACGTTTCCCTTGGCCGCGCGAGCCGCGCGAGCCGCCACGCGCATAGGCCGAGCATTCGACACTAGCTTTCCCGTTCGAAGATCGAACACCGGTACGTCGTCCTCATCGTCGTCCGCGTCCACCTCTACCCCACTGTCTCCGGTGACATTGTCATCCGCCTTGTCCGGTCCAGTGCCCTCAGGCTTGTCTTCGACAGCCTTAACACTTTCAATGCCGCCCCACCAGCTCAGTCCCCAGACCCTCTCCTCGTCCGGCTTGAGCGCAACTTCCAGCTCAAAAGGTGTAAGGACAGGCCTGTAGAAGCCCGCGTCCTCCTCGACGAGACTGCTCTCCCAGCAGCCGACGACCACCCAGCCATCCATCTCGGCGAAATTAGCCAGCTTGGCCGAGTTGAGCTTACCCACCACGACGGTGTAGCTCTTCTTTCCCGCGGCGGCGATCTGTTTCCGTATCGCGTCGATGGACGAAAGGTAGTTGGCCACGGATAATGTGTTGACCAAGATGCCTATTATGCCGGCTGTAGTGAGGTTGAGCAGCTTTGCGTAGCGGCGGCCGAGCAGGGCGCGGGTCGTCCGGGCTGGAGAGTAATATGAGGATGGAGAGTCCGGTGTTGCAAAGATGTGGAGGGAGGATACGCGGGAGGAGAGGGCCAACAGCAGGGCGGTTGGCGGTGATGAGACGTGGAATATGGAATATTGCTTCAGGTCGATGCCATCTTTCTCGTCAACGACGACTTGTTTGTCGTCAGGATCTACGATGATTCGGTTTGGTATGCTTCCTAGGGGATCATGTTGTATCCTGGTAGATAGCAGCTCCTTGTACCCTCGTTCCCGGGCACGCCGATATAATTCGGGAACGTGGTCCTGGTACGTCACGTCTGCCATAAGAACGATTTTCGATTCTTTTTCTGGGAACTCGGACTCGAAAGTTTGCAAGGCGTCATCAAGGTTGAGGGCATGCTTGGTGAAGACGTAGATGACTGGCAGTCTTGATGTTGGAGAAAGACAAGAGCGGCCAAAGTGGACGACGACGTGTGCATCGATGTGTTCGGCGGCTATCTCGTCGACGCAGCAGGAGCTGTAAGAAGTGTCTGCTAAGATGTATATCTTGTCCTGCTGTTGTTTCCTGTCCCCTGCGCTTTCCTTCTCGCCCTCCCTGTCTTCGGTTTGTGGTATACGGTCCAGCTCCTCTTGCAACAGTGTCACGACTTTCGGGGCGTCGCCGAGCATATGGTCAGGGAACTGAAGGGCGATTCGCCTGTGGGCCCCGTGCCGTACTTCTCGAGCAACTCGCGCGACCTCGTATGTTTCTCGAAGCTCGTCGTCGGACCTCGGGCCCTTGGGGTCGGCTACTGGTTCTTGGTACTCGAACAGATGGTCTTCTGGGGTGGAGAGCACCGGGGCTGCCGTGAGTTCGTTTGCCATTGTGTTTCGGGGCCGCAGGGCGGTGTCGTCTCGTCCGGAAGCTGGTCGACGTGCCCGTGTTGGATGAAGCTTTTGGGTGCAACACTTCGTCAGTGGTGGTGGGGGCGGGGTCAGAAAAATTTCAGAGTAATCGGTGGCGGCGTTATTGGCGGAGAGGGGCGGTCTTGGCAGCATGAGCTTGGAGATCCCAGGGGTCTGCCTACCTGGATGGAAGGCAGCCTAGGCCTCCCGACTCCCGTAAAGCTTGGCTCTCAGCCCTACCACCTGGCTGGTGTCTCCCAAGCAAGGAACATAGGAACTCTTAGACTCATCTCAAACGTCGACTTGTCCTGGCCTCTTGACGTGGTAGAAATGCATCTTGCCTTTACCTCATTTCGAAGCAGTAGTTCTCGTAGCCATTTTTAGAACAAATCAAGACAATTGATTGCTTGACACAGAGATGCTGTCACGACTTGTCATCGAGACGATCGTCGCTTGTCCCCGGTCCCTGCCACTGGTGACATAAGATGTCGCGACCGCGATCGTCGTCCCCGTTTCTTCAGCTCAACACTGTCCTTTTCTCCTTACTCACGCATTCGTCAGTCGCCAACCAACAGACTCGCTGTTTCACCCAAGCTTTCAGGCAAGGGAACGCTCTGGCTTATCCCCGAAATCGGCGTCAACTTTCCAAGACTTTGCAATGGCTTCAAAAAACACTGCTCGGCCAGACGCGCCTCATTACCAAACATCCCAAGGACTCTCGTCAAAAGCAGGCACAATGTCTTCGTCCAGCTCTACATCTCAGCTCGGGGTCCCCGATACACTTCAGCGGCAATCATCAGCACCGCCAGGCCGCCAGCAAAGCGACGTCCAATCCCAGGACACCGCTTCAGCAACCCTCGGAGCCGATGGGAAATATGAGCCTCGAGGGCGTCTCATCCAACCAGCTGGCATCTCCCGAGCTTAACCAGGACCACCTCAACCATGACGAGAAGACGAGTGGCAGTGTCACTCGATTCTTTGGGAATATGATGATTGCCAGGATTGGCCGCGCCTCCTGGCAGTCGATGGAGTCAACAGCCAGACTCCCATTTTACCTCTCCCCATGGGGCGACAACACGCCTTTCACCCTCCCAAACGTCCGCAAACGTGACCTTGCTCTCGCTGGTGTTTCGCACTTCGGACTCGACGCCCTCGGAGTCTCTGCTGTCACCGTCATGGAAAAGGCCGTCGAGACGACCGCCGAGCAAGGGGTAGACGAGGGCCTAGCCAAAATCACGGGTAAATACGGCAAGGCTCATCAAGTCGTACGCAAGATCGGCGTGAACAGCATCACATTGAAAATCAGGCATAAACTTATTGGCGAGGGCGCCGAGCTTGTGTTCCAAGGAGTGAGGAGTACAAGTGACTGGATGGGCTGCGCCAAGGGCTGGTTCTGTCCATACCTGTACGCCAGTGGGAGGGAGCCCGAGATACCAAGAAGCAAGGATTTTGCCATGGCACAGCTTCTACGGCCGCGATTGGCGGCGGATGCGAGAATCGCACCTGTGTTGCTGAGCTCGTTCACCGACGCTGATACGCCAATCCTGGCGCCCCTTGGTTGTCCTTGGGAGGACCAGAGTTTCAAGCCGACAGCGCCTGCCTACCCGAAGTTCCGGCGAGTCGCCATTTTTATAACAGGAATTTCGCCATACCGGTATATCACCTCGCAGTCGGCGTGGTCGCACTGCAGGATCCCCAACGAAGCAAAAATAACGTTCCATTTGTTTACACATGTCCCAGCCATCGTGCTTCCGGTTAGAGACCAGTCGCCCATACTGGCTTGGAGCCCGTGGACAATCGCACGAATGTTCGAGAAGAAGACGAAGTACGACGTTGCAACGCATGTCAAGGAGCTCCTGAGCTTCATCGAGACGATCATAGATGAGAAGACGGCCAGGGAAAATGCAGAATGGCGAGACATCGTGGAGGCCGCCCTGCGGTCGATGCTTGGCACGGTGCTCAACGTGCCCGATGCTATTCGCGAGACGTCCAAGAAGAATTGTGAGCTTGAGAGAGCCGGGGTCGTCTTTTTTAGGTATTGAGGGTGGTTCACCAAGCCGTATACTTTGGGGTGCAGGTACTTGACATTGAAACGCCCGTGTCATGTAACGAGTAGCAAACATTGATCACGGATCACGGCACGCCTCTCGAATGTGGCTTGACTCGGGACCCACTGATTCGTGGCAGACGGCTCAGACAAGACCAACTGTTTCGAGAATTGACAGACATCATACGGTCAATGACTACTTGAACGGCATTATATCGTTAGCGCAAGGGAATCTCCGCCGAATGACTTGATCTTGATGCGAAGATCTGGCTTGGGTCAGATGCACGAGCCTTTTACACGGGCGGCCTCTCTCCATCGTCACCACCTGAACCTCTCTCCAGCCGTCAGAGACCCTTTTGACAACGAACATAGGCGTGTCAGCTTCTGGGTAAACATTGAGCATTGCACCGCTTGGCCGTCGTGGCACCCTTGGCCTGCAGAACGGCGACTTGCTCGTAGGCCGTTGCGGTCTCGCAGCTTCAGCAAGCGAGTACACAGCCACCTTACTATACACACTTGGCACGGCTCCCTGCAGATAGGGACCCTTGACCCACTCCTGAGTGAAATGCACCGCAACGTGTTTGCCTGTGGTCCACATGTTGACTAACAGAGACCGTTCTCGAAACCACTCAATCGTCCCCACAGAGCATCACCAGCCCTTGGCGCCCCATGATGAGGCGGCTGAGCCGCAGCTTATTCGGTGGGGAACACAGGTCACCGCCCACGTATTGACGTCAAGGTCTCCCCTCTCGCCAGACGAGTCCCCCTGAATCTCAGTGGTTCTGCGCGGGGACGGCCATGCGATCCGGAAGTCGGTGAGAAGTTGATACGTGACAACAGGGCAGAAACAGCATATAAAGAAGACGACTTCCCCCCCGGAGGCCATGAGTTCCAAGTCTGAAACATCATCTCAGTAAACGACTCTTCTCTTCAAGTCAAATCATATCATCTCCTCACAAAATTCATCATGTCTAACTTCCACCACACCTGCGAGATCCCCAGCGTCCGCATCGACGATGGTCACATCCTCCGATGCCGTGTTGCCCGTGAGGACGGCGAGTACGTCGATGCTGAGATCAACCTGAACTCCTGCATCGGAAACGAGAACGGTTAGCATAACACTTACTCTTATCACATTGTGCTTGAATACAAGGCTAACGGGAGACAGGCCACTTCTTCTGGGGAGGCGAGAGTAAGAACATCCCTTGACACTACTAGGTTGCTCAACCTCCACCGCAGGACATATATGCTGACATACCCCCTCAGACTTCCTCGAGACCGCCGAGGATGTCCGCTTCCACATCGAGGGCGACAACCAGCCCATCTTGCGTGCCAGACTCCGTACCATCGACGGCGAGTACGAGGACCGGGACATCAACCTCGCGGAGAGGATCATGAACAGGGATGGAAACCTGTGCTTCGAGAACTAAGAAGCAATAAGCATGTGAAGTCCGTTATGCGGCTTTAGCTTCTCCTTGTATTTGGAAGACAGTCCAGAAGAGAGAGCATGCTTCATGTTGTAAGGAGGCCCAACAATTGAACAGACCTCCAAAGAAATCCCCGTCTCCACATGCAGTGTGCTGAATTGGCCAAATGTCCCTGCCCTATCAACTCGGCGAGCCCAACTAGTAATATGTCTCCAAACCTGAACCGCGAATTAGCCAGTAGTCCATAATCTAAAGCGTGACTCAGAACATCTGCGTAAAAAGATGTCGGGCTTCTGGAGAACCTGGATATTATTTTTAGCATATTAATCACGTGAAAGATCTCTGATATAACGACGTGGATTGAGAACTCGACCCTTCAATTGTCTTCCAACTATTCACGACTCATCTTTCAGGACGTAGTCAATCACAGCTTTGTTCGGACCGTCCCACTCTGATCTGCCCCTGACAAACCAGAGCGTCACGGCGCCAATCAGGACTACACCAAAGACTGGTCCGGAATAGTTCATATTGGCCGCCGTAACAGGCAAATAATTCGGAAAAGGCAACCAGATGATTGCATAGACAGTGTATGCGAGGGCGAAGATATTGAGAAATGTCCCTGCCCTGCCAAAATTCCAGACTCTGAATTGAATCCTGTCGTTGAGACGAGCATGAAGCACAACTGCAAGAATGATTGTGTAACTCAGGTAGATTGCCGTGGATGACAAAGACACGATAGCACTCAGAGCGATGTAGGAACTGCCTCCTATGTTGAGCAGGGACAGCAGAAGGACGACGATCGACACGAGCACGACGGCGCGGGAGGGGACGCGGTGCTTGGCATCTACATGTCCAAAGTATTGTGGCAGTCCTGCGTCAGGTCTGCCAGCATTCCTGCATGAATGTAGAAGGTGTACATGACACAGGGCTCCCAGACTCACCGCCGTCCCGCGCCCATGCCCAAGTTAGACGTGATACAGACGAAAGTACGCCCATATTTCCAGAGATACCAAGAATGACTATCCCGAAGGTCATAGCCGTGGTGGCTCTTGTGGATCCGGTGGTGTTCAGAAGAATGGTCACAATTGGGCTCGAAGAATCAAGGAGGATGTCGGTAGAGGGCATGCATATCTGTAACACCATTATTTAGTCACATGTCTTGACAAGTCTTGCGCTACAGGACCACAGCAGACAAGCCATTGCGTTACGAGATGAAAAGCACCGCTCGTTCTGGCTTTGAGGTATTGGAAAAGCTTTGGAGGTACAGAGACGGGTAATAACTTACACCAAAAGTAATTATCATCACCAGGCCAAGCGCAATATTAGTTGCGACGGACCAAAACACAGCTCTTGGTACGGCACGCTTGGCATCTCGCGTTTCCTCTCCCATGTGAACAACACTCTCAAAAGCTGACAGGATTAGCTAATTGCCCCCTTCGCATATTGGAAAATGGTCCTGACCTACCACAGAAGAGAAAGACACTTGATAATGCTCCTAGATTCGCCGCAATAAAGTAGTTATCCCATCCCGATGCTATGCTGCTGACTAGGAAGATGTTGGGGCTGTTCCTTGGAGACATAACCCAGAGAACAACGAGATAGATGAGCACCAGGCAAATATTCAAAACGCCGCTGAGGAGCTAGTCGTATATATAATTAGCAAGACATCAATACGACCTTTTCCTCGTCTTATTAATGTTTGGACACCAACAGACGAGAACATTTGAACACTGACCTCAAACCATGGAACCAGCCAGAATGCAAACAGGTTCACTCCCGCACAGAAGGCCACCGTAGCAAACATAATGAGAGTAGTATGCCAGCCGCCGGGGCTATAGTCGGGGTTGCCAACTTGGACTATGCCCTCGAGCACGACGGTATTCCCGTTCAAGCAGCTCGTGAGCAGAGCAACGTATCCAGTCCAGGTGAACCAGCCTTGAATCCAAGTGTGGAACCTCCTGCATCTCGGCGGCGAGAAGGTCCAGGTTCAGTAGTACTGGGCACCCGTAACGGGCTGGATAGATGCCAGCTCCCCGAACGTGGCCGCCTGGGAGAGCGCTCCAGCGGCCACTACGAGGTAGCTCCAGAACCATGCTGCCGGGCCGCCGTTGGCGAGAGCGAAATACATGTTCCTGAAATTGGGAACAGGTATTTAGCTCCGGTGCTTTCTCCAGTCGGTCTGCTGGGCGTCCTTACATCGCCACGCAATACCATGTTGCCATATACACCAATGAGAACGAGAAAAGCTGAGGCAGGGAGAAGAGACGCCTCGTGCGCGTCTGCGCGACGAGAACTGAGGACCCATCTTTGGGGCTGTCGATGGCTGCCGGCGAGTTTCGGTCGTGCACTTTGATTGTGCTAAGTTCATGTTTGTCGTTGGATTCCATTGTGGGCGAGGCAAACAAGACGATATATCAAGCAACATCCGCCAAACTATGAGCAAAGTAGCAAGACGAAGATTTAAGCATATCAGAGGGCAGAGGGAGTCAAGCGGGAATGAATTCACTCGACCGAGACGCACGCATTGGCAAGCGAGGAAAATTGTGCGCCAGCCGGAAAGCTTGGTCTTCCGCATCAGACCCAGTATTCCATTCATGGCCAGCCAGTCTAGCTGAGAAGCCATGTGAACGGTGGAACTGATAGGATTCTTCTCAAAACGCATCAGGAGAGAGGGCAGCATAGTTAATGCCAAGGTTTGAGCGGGTCGCTTGTTCCGTACCTAGGTGTTCTGGCTTACGACCTTCTCATCCGGGAATAATATCCGTGAAGATCTGCATGTCACACATGCGGATGAGCTCTGCGGAGGAGAACTACAACTATCCTGGTTTGCGTGGGGGGGGGGAGATACCTAGGTATGTAAATGTGACAAATACTATGGCGGTGTCCTTTGAAGACGTGCATTAAATCATTTCTCTAGGTGGCTTGTTTCGTTGGCTGAGGCCGTACCGCTTTCTCCCACACTACCCTCCTTTTCCAGTAATGGGCAACCCATGCCGGGGTCTGATATGGTGGCAACATTTGTGGATCTTCGAGCACTCGGCGACCTGCAACAATGTTTCGATTCCGTGACTACCAAAAATCAAGTTGACTCGAAACAGAGAGCGACCGGGAAGGTGTGCGATCTATCACCACGGTACTACTGAGGTACACAAGTTTGCATTGCGTTACAAATGTTGCCAGTACGATGGCATGGACCAGACAACCTCCAGCTTGAGCTGCTTTTCAGGAATGCGCCAATTTTTTTTTCGGCCGGGGGGGGGGGGATAAATAAGAGAACACGAACGCAGACGAGGACAGTTTATCAGACTGTCAACTGTGCCACACAGTGGTCAAGCCAAGATGAACAAAGTTGCTTTTTGAGCTGTCAATAAGGTTGACGCAAGGTGGAGTAAACATGCCTAGGGACGGCTCCTTCATACCATCTTCACATCTTCACCCAGACAAGTTTAGCGGTTCCGCGGAGCAGCGGAAGCAAGGTTGCCTAGAGGTCCACTATATCTGATCCTGTAGGTTATGATCGTTGCAAGTCTCCCCGGTTCCAAGCTTCTTACCCCCATGTTGCGCAGCTTAGAACAACGTCTGGGCTCCATCGACCAAATGCTCACCCTGCAGCTCGTACGGTACCCACGAGCGCATAAATTACGGACATCTTTTTCATCCTTTACGTCCTAGGTGATAATATCACATACGGGATCTACAGAAGCTCCAGATACTATACGTGTCTCGGCTCATTGTCTTGTTCTTGTGACCACTGTCAAGTCAGTGTTTCCAATATTAAGAGGTTGGTTAGCTGCTTAGACTCTGGCCGTAGAGAGAACATGCTGTTGGGAGTTTTGTTCTATGGACTTCGGGTATTGTTGCCCGCCTACGATCTTGTTTAGGGTCGATCCTAACTCAAGAAATCGTGATTCAACACAATGCTTGCTCGCACTCACCTTCCGCCTCAGAGATTACAGGTCAACGCCTGAGAAAATCTAGTCTGAATATGGGAATTTAACCCTAAGAATGCCCAGGTAGTGAATCCTAATCGCTACGGAGAGACCAACAGGAATAGACGAGTAGAATTCGGTGAAGCACGAGTGCGAATCACAATTCGATCTTCATATTCCTGAGGCGTGTTCTCCACCAGCGAACCAAAGTCGACAATTTAGCTCTGAAACCAGCCGTGGAGGTGAATTGCCAAGCTGGTGCCGCAGCATCAGTTCTTGCCGCTGTTCGACCCTTCGCGAAATGATTGTGAGCTCAGCATCTTCACACAAGTTAACGTCCCCGGCCCCGATCCCGGCCGCCCCCCCTTCCCGGCCGCCCTCAGCACCTACACACGCCTTCTCTTCAACATTAATTGCCCGCTACCACGATGCACAATCCCTCTTTTATTAATATTTCTAATTCTCTAAAGGCATTGCTTTCTTTTAATACCCTTCTTATCTTTATTTAAGCCTTATAAATAACCTTAATATTAATAAAAGCTATATTTAAATTAATTTAAACTTTTTTCTTTATAATTCTTTAATTAACTTTAATTTAAGCTTTAAGCTATTAATTTTTTTATAAAGTTATTATTAATTAAGTTTCTTTTTTATTATATACTTTAAAAAGCTTTTAAAAAAATATTTATAATATAAGGTTTAAATATTTATTATAATGCTAATAAGTAATTAATTAATATATCTTTTATAATTATTTAAAAGTTTTAAAAATAAGCTTTACTTATTAAAAAAAAACTTTTAATATAAAAAATTACTTAATAAAGCTTTTTATATTATTAAATTTTAATAATTTATATTAAATTTAATAATTCTTAAAAATATAATAACTTTTAAATACTTTATATTTAAATATTAATTAAAAACTTATTACTCTTTATTTTAATTAAATATTTAATTTTATAAATGCTTTCTTTTATATCTTATAATAATAATAAAGAAACCTTTTTTTATTATAATTATTAATAAATTATATTGCCTAAGTTAATAAAAATGCTTTTTAAAGGTATTTTTTAAAAGTAAAAAGATTATTATATTAAGAGGTTAAAATATATATAATATATATATAAGTAAAAAGATTATATATATGTAATTTAATTAATATTTTTATATAAAGTTAATAGTTATATATATATAATATTTATTAATTATAAATAAACGTTATTTAAAAGGGTTGTTAAGGATAATGCTAAAAATAAAGACTTTTCTTAATTATTTAATGGCTATTCTTTCCTTTATTTACCTTTTTTTAATAGCTATAAATTGCTAATTAAAGTAATCTTTAAGGGTAATTAAAAATCATTATTATTATATACTCCTTCCCTTAAAATAATAAAAGGTTTAAGGATTATACTTAAGGCATTAATATACTTTATAAAGGAAGTTTATACTTAAATATTAAAGTCCTTTTAAAGAAAAGGATTATCCTTTAAATAATTAAAAGCAGAGTTGTGAATTTATATCCAGATACAAGATACAAATACAGATATAAATATAGATACAAAAAAATCCTAAATACAAATATAAATACAGATACAAATATAAAAAAATCCTAAATACAAATACAAATACAGATACAAAATTCTATATTTAAATACAAATACAGATATAAATACAAATACAAATACCATATTAATATTTATATCTATATCTATATCTAGATATAAATACATAAAGAAGCCAGATATAAATACAGATACAGATACAAAAAAAATATAAATATAGATATAAATATAAATATAGTATCTGTATTTAAATACAAATATAAATACAATATCTATATCCAGATACAAATATAAATACAACAAATATAAATACAATTACAACTTTAATTAAAAGTAAGGGCATTCTTTAAGTAACCCTTTATTAGCCCTTTTTTATTAATATTTTATTAATAGGCTTATTAAATAAACTTAATAATAAGTAATTAAAAAATGTTAAATTAAGAGGTAATATTCTTTTTAATTATTAATTAAAAATAAATAGCCTTTATATATTAATTTTTTTAACTTTAAAGAATAAGGTAATAAGAAAGAAAAGCTTTTAATTAATTCCTTTTAAGGAAAGGGTAATCTTTATTTAAAAAGGCTAACTAATTAAGTCTTTAAAGCTCTTATTTTAAATTATATTAATGCTAACTTTAAGCTACTTTAATTAATTATAAATAAAGTTAATAAAGCCTTTTAATAATTAAAAAAAAGCCTTTAAAAGTTAATAATAATATAATAGCTTTAAATATTATTAAAATAATTAAATAATATAATTTAAAGAATATATTATATCTTAAAGGCTTGCTAAATTAATATTTTATTTTTTATAATAATAAAGGCATTAATAAGGTTATCTTTAAAATATTACTTTATAATAAGGAAAATAATATTTAAGAAAAATTTAGTAATTAAAAAAAATTCCTTATAAAGATATTAAGAAGTTAATATAAGGTGGGTGCAAATGCGTTTATGCGCGTACATGGGTGTGGGCCGGCCGGGATCAGGGGGCGGCCGGGATCAGGGCCGGGGACGTTACTCTCATATGCAATCAAACGTTCCTATCAAATTCTATATATGTCTTATAATGGAATCCTTATAGATGTGATTAATTCTAATGGTTAAGGTAATGATTACTTAATTATTATTTTATTTTTAAGCTAATAAATAATAAGAGCTGGTTTTTATCCATAAATCTTAATATCTTAAGCATTTACTATAAATTTATAATAAATTACTAGTAAATTACCATTCGTTAATAAATTTATAATAAATTTATTATAAAACTATTTAATTATAATATATTTACTATTAATTAAATTTAATACACCCTTTTAAATTAGCAAGAATTAATAAGCTAAATCCTTACTTATTGTTTATCGCTAATTATTATTAAATTATTATATTTTTTATTTAAGTTTCCTTATATAAGTTATTTTTAATGCTTTTTAATTTAAGCTAAGGTAAAAACTTATTTTATTTTTTAATAAATAGCGTTTTTATTAATTTATTTATTATTATTTATATTAATAGCATATATTTTATAATAATTTTGCTATTTTAAACCTTTTATTTTAATTAATAATTATAAATATTTATATATTATAACTTAATCTTAAGTATAATAATTTTAAAAGTTATTAAGTTAATTATTTAAATATTATTATATTTAATTTTAATAATTTTATTATTTAATTTTATAAATAGCTTAATAAAAAGTTAGCTTATAAAAAGTATTTCTTTTATAACTTAAGCTAAAATTAATAGCTTTATATTTATAATAAAAATTATAATTATATTTTACTTATTTACTTTTTATTTAATAAGTTTATTAAATAACTTTATAATAAATACTTATAAGCTCTTTTAATTTAAGGAGTTATTAGCGAAAAATGCATTACTAATAATTATAAA